ATAGTGTTGCTGCGGCCCTCTCCGCCCTCTCCGAGAACGGGCAGTGCTTGCTTAACTGAAGCCCTGTCTGAACATCCCTTGTAGGATGGCAGATGTAATGAGCAGACAGGTCTTTGTCCTCAGGGTGTCCCTGCCCAGTCAAGCCTCAGAATGCACCTTAGTAAGCACTTCTGTCTGTGAATCTCCTGCAGACCGAGTCCCTAGTGTTTAGGAGATTGGGAATGAAAACTGACATTCTCCAGAACCCCTGGATTAAAAAGAAAAGAAAAAAGGAGGGGATGGAGGAGGGTTCATTCCAGGGGTAGAGAGCAAAGAGAGGAGGCTAGACCTCAGAGCAGGGGCAATCTGGGAGGGGGGACCCTTGCATAGAAAGGCCTAGAGCCAGGAATGCGCTGAGGCATTCAAGGGGTGGTGAGGGGCTCGAGGGGCCTGGGAGGAAGCCAGAGGGGCCTGACTTTAGGTGTCAGCGCGAGAAGGAAGAGGAGAAGCGGAGCCAAAGAGAGAGAGGTGGGGGGAGATGGGAAGGCCCGCTCTCACAAGCCAGGGGGCTCAGTCAGCGTTTCCTGAGCACCGGCTAAGTCCCTGTGTTGGTGCCAGGACTTCAGAGATTAAGTGCTCTTGTTTGGTGATGTATCCTGGCATGACGTAGACGCTCAGTACGAATCTGGTGAGTGAATGAGAGAACAGGGGCTATGAGAATTCACCACCATGGGGAGGGGGTGAGTGCAGAGGGCCGCGGCTGAGGAGGAATAGGACAGGAACCCAGGCCTGGAGATGTGGGGGCTGTGGTCCAGCCGGAGACCCTGCCTGACCCTGCCTTTCCTCTGGCCAGTTCGTGCCCTTCAGGGACTACGTGGACCGCACTGGCAACCACGTGCTGAGCATGGCCCGCCTGGCCCGCGATGTGCTGGCCGAGATCCCTGACCAGCTGGTGTCCTACATGAAGTCACAGGGCATCCGCCCGCGCCCCCCGCCTGCGGCCCCAGAGCCCTCGCCCCCACAGTCCCCAGCCCGCACGCCCCCTGCTTCCCCCCTGCACACACACATCTGAGCGCTCTTCCCGAAGTCCCCTGGCCTGTGGCGGGCGGCTGGGGCCCGGGGAGGCCAGTGGAAGTGTAGGCGGGGTCTCCAATTTGCCCCGCCCATCGGGGGGGGGGGAGTATAGGCGGGGTCTCTTGCAATTTGCCCCGCCCAGCCTTTGTAACATGTGTGCCTGGGAGGCCAGCAGGAGGCGGGGCCTCTGAAGACTCCTCTCTAATTTCCTAGCCTTATGGCCCAACCCAGGCAATTGGGAGGGTACAGGTGGTGGAGGTGGGTTCTGGGCCCCTGCGTTTCTCATTTCTCCCTGATACCTGGTTCTGGCCCAGCCAGGAAGGTGTTAACAGTGAGGAGAATTGAGGTCCCCCTCGGCCCACCTGGCAATCCCGTCTGCTCCTATATGGCCGTGAAGCCTGGGCTGGGCCTCCCTCCTCCTGTGGTGTCTATTTCTATACCTGGCCCCTGCCCTCCTACCCCAGTATCTATCCCATCCCCATTTCCAGTGAACCCTGTGAGGCTGCTGGGTTTGCAGGGATGCCTGAACATGTGACCCTTCCCAGGGACACTTGCATGCTCTGGGAGCCCTGCGGACCCATGCAGGGGAGGCTGTGAGGGGAGGCCGTAGGCCACATGGTGGGCTGGGAATGGAGGCCTTTTGGGCACAGGGTCCTTTCTGGTGCCTCTCAAGCCCAGAAGGACATGGTTTTAGATACACAGATCCACAGGCCTTTCCTTGGTGTAGACCCACAGGCATCTCTACAGCTGACTTCTGATTCCAGGCATCCCCTTCTCTTGCCAGAGCTGCCTGGGGCCCCTGGGGCCCAGGCCTCTGCTACCCCCCTGGAGGCCTTGGAAGAAACAGTCCAGCCCCAACACTCCTACACTGCCCCTCTGACCCACGGGGATAAGAGATAGAGGTCCTGGGTTCAAGCCCTGCCTCTAGCTGCCGCCCGTGGGAACCCAAGCAAGGCCCTCCTGCCTTCTGGGTCTCAGTTTCCACATCTGTAAGTCAAGAGGGTTGACCAGATGGTCCCGGATTTACCTTCAGCTCTGATGTCCTGAGAGTCCATTCATGCCATGCCCAGCTCCCCCCATCCCACTCCTTAGCAGTGTGACCCCTTACCCCAGGCCGTCTTGGCCCTTGGGGTCACCTTGTTCCATCCTGTCACCCCAAATCCACCTGAGTCCTTCAGCCTTGGGCTCTGGTGTCTGAGCCCAAGCTTCTGCCCCTGCTGTGGGGAAGGTGAGACAGGTGATCTCACCCCTGGGCCCAACCAGCTGCCCAGTCTTGGTCATGCATGCCAGCCCCTCCTGCAGCATGAGGCTCCGAGGCCCACTGCACATCCCATGCCTAGGCGCCACCCCCCCTCCCCCCACGCCCGTCTGCTGCCCCAATGCCGCTTCCCTCCCTGTCATGCATGATGGTGGTGTTTCTATGCTGTCTGGTCCTGTGCCCGTCTCTGAGACAGTCTCTGTGTGGAATTTGCCTTAAACTGGAGTAAATTTGGTTCTTTTACTAAAGTTTCTTGTTTTCCTTTCCCTGTGAAAAATAGAAAATATATTGCTGTTCGACAGAGTCCAGGTTCTCCTCTCCATCTTTCTTCCATTCTTTTGTTTAATGAAGATTTACTGAGCAACTACTATGTGCCAGGGTCTGTGCTGGGCACTCAGGATGCGGCAATGAACAAAACACAGGCCCCGTCTCCACATGGAGCTTACAACAAACACATAAATAAGACAGGAAAACCCAGTAAGCACTTAAATAGGTAGATAACTTAATTTCAGGTGGTGGTAAGAGTCACAAAGACAAATAACAGAAAATAAGGGGCTAGAGAGGGACAGGGTGATATTTTAATGAGGTGGTTAGGGAGAGCCTCTCTGAGGAAGTGAAGGTTGAAATGAGCCCTAAGGAAATGAGAGAAGGAGGCACGATGGTATCCAAGGCCAAGTAGAAGGAACAGCAAGTGCAAAGGCCCTGAGGCAGGAGCATACTTCATGTGAAGGACAGCAGGGAGGCTTGTGTGATTGGAACTGTATTAAGTGGGGAGATAGTTCAGGAGGTGAGATCAGGGTTGTGAAGAATCCAGAGTGCATAGGGCCTTGTGGGCCGTGGTTAGGGCTTTAGCATTACTCTTGAGTGAAATGGAGTCAGGAGGTGAGAGAGGTGAATAACATGATCAGATTATTCTCAAAAACAGGTGGGTCAGTTTATTACATTTGATCACCCACTGACTCATCCCTCAACAAGTATTTACCTAGCACTCACGCCAGGCCCTGCTCAAGTTTGGAAACACTGATTCACACACAGTTGTACCCTCAGAGGGCAGCCCCTGCCCTCCGTGTCCCTCTTCATCTATCAACCCCTGTGGCCATCAGAGCCCAGGATCTCAGGGAAAGGGGACTTCTCCCCTCCTCTGGGCAAGCTCGCTCTCAGATTAGCCCTCCAGCCAGCCATTCCCAATCTGCACATCACAAGAAATTTGGGACTAATTATACCAAAGTTGGGGACTTACTTACTTCTTATGATTTTATAGTAAATTAGAGCTGATTCATGGCTGTCCCTATAATTAGATCACCCTCTGACTTGCATTCCGATGTGCTTGGAGTGGGAACCGGGTGGGGTCATAGCTTGGGAAGAGGGAAGTTCCCATAACCAGTGACCCATTTTGCCTCACCTTGGACGTCTGTGGGAAAGCGTCAAGCAGAGATGCCCACCTGGCAGGGGAATCAAGTCTCAGAGCCACCGCCCAAGAGGGGCCAAGTGCATCTTTACTGAGCTTGACACTGTAGCTTCTCTCCTGGGTTATTTCTCAAGGTATGGCCCATGAAACATTGTGTTTTTGGCATGGATTTTGGGGAACTGCCTACTCTGAGCCCCTCTCAGAGAATCCCAGTGGCCTTTGGAGCATTCAAGGCTCTGATAAGTCCTGCAGCAAAGAGACCAGTTTAACTTGGTTCAATCCGGTGTTTCCAAAGCTTTTTGACCATGGAGTCAGAGAGAGAGAGAGAGAGTGTGTGTGTGTGTGTTTAGCTGTAACACTGTTAGCAAGCAGAAAACGTTGAACATTCTGTCTTAGGACTTTAAGTAGAGATCACCTCCCTGGTTCCACCACTAACACAGAAGACTGAGGCCTGCTACCAGGAGGCCAGAGGCAGGGCATGGAGTTTGGGAGCTTCTCAGAGGAGGTTGGGTGGGAGAGGTGGGGACCTTTCATTTCTCTGGAGAGAGGAAGGAAACCACAGAGAAGAAAGGAGGGTGTTCAGAAAGTCACGGCACAAAGGTTGACTTTGTGTTCCCTCGTGGGGCTGAGAGGTGTGTGTGACTGAGCTAGGAGAGGGCAGGCAGAGGAGGGAGAGGCAGCTGAAAGGCTCTCCTGGACTCTGGGCTCCCACCCCGGGTGCAGCTGTCTTCCCTCCTCACCCCTATTTGCTCCACAGGCCCTCAGGATTAAGGACCCTGGACTGTCATTCCCCAGGTCATTCGCCTCCACACTTCTGCCTTTGGAAGTCCCTTTACCGATCTCTTGTCCACGCCCCTCAAGTGCCCCTGAATTAATAAAAATAAAATGATGATGATAATAATCGCGATGGCCAACACTCATATGCACTTATGAAGCAGCAGGTGTTCTGAGCGCTCTATGTGTGTTACGAGTATCTTTATAACAACCCTGTGAAGAAGGTGCTACCGTTATCCCACTTTCCAGATGAGAAGACGGAGCCCTGGAGAGGTTAAGGGACTTGTGCAGGGTCCCACCACTAGAAAGTAGTGGAGCCTACAGGTATCTGAGTCCCAAGGTGGAATGGGAGCATCAACCTAGTTGCCATTTTGGTTGCTGTCTCACCTTTGCTGGGCCACCTGCCCTCTCTGGATCTCAGGGTCCCCACTGGTAAAATGGAGGGGACCGGCTCTAACGTCGCTAAGGGTCTTCCCATCTCTCTTGACTCTCAGCCCTCCCGTCAGCCTATCTCCTCAGACCCTCGCCAGACCCCAGAGGCCTCCCGGGACCTGGGTTGAGGCCAGGCTGGATGCTCTCCATCACCATACCGGCCCCGCCCACACCCCCAGGGTGCCTGGCTGCCCTTGGCCTGCAGAAGAGGTCCCTGAGCCCTGCCCGGAAGGGGCGGGAGAGGTAGAAGCAGAGGATGGGGCTGACGGCACAGTTGGAATAGGCCAGGATGGTGCAGAGGCTGGACGCCACGAAAGCCACCGGCGTGGCAGGCAGGCCGCCCACGGCTGCCACGTAGCCCAGCACAGAGCAGGGCCCCCACATCAGCACGAAGACCACCAGCACCACAAGGATGAGCCCTGCGTTCTCCTGGTGCTCCCGGACGCTCTCCCCGCTGGGGCCACGGGGCCGTGTCCGCAGGAGCCAGCCCACGTGGCCGAAAGAGCAGCCCAGCCCCAGCGTACAAGGCAGGAAGGCCAGGGCTCCCAGCAGGCTGAAGTAGCAGGAGGCCTGGGCAGGGCTCAGGAGCAAGAGGCAGGCCGGGGCCCCCACGGCCCCCTCCTCCACGACCACCCTCTGGAACAGCCAGGTAGGCAATGATGCAGTGAGGCCCAGGACCCACGCGGCCCCACAGAGCAGCAGGCGGGCGCCCCGGCCAGACGGGAGGGCCACGTCGGGCCAGGCCACGGCCACGTGGCGCAGAAGAGCCGTGGCCACCATGCTGTAGAAGGTACAGAACATGGTGGCGTTGTTGGTGGCCTGGCTGGCAGTGCAGAGGACGGGGCCCAGCCACCAGTGGGGCCGCAGGAAGCTGAGCAGCAGCACCGGCACCACGCAGGCCAGGAAGAGCAGGTCGGACAGCGTGATGTTCACCATGAGGCTGTTGGTCAGGGCGAGGAGCGGACGGGGGGCGCCTGAGGCCCGGCCCACCACCACCAGCATGAGCCCGTTGGCCACCAGCCCCACCAGCAGGATGAGGCCGCAGACTCCGGCAAAGATGAGACGGAGCGGTCGCTCAGGTGTGGCTGTGAGCCCGGAGGTGAACGTGGCGTTGGGCTCCGGCCTAGGCTCCATCCTCCTGCTCCACACACACAAGGACAGTGTAGAAACCGGTCTCTTCCCCTGCTGAGCGCCCCTCCTTTCCCAGAGCCCTGCATCCAGGGGGCCCCCTTGGCATGCATCGGTCCCCTGAGACCTCACAACAGCCTGATGGGACGGGCTCGGTCTACACCGTGGGCTCAAGTCCCGACTCTGCTACGCTGTAGCTCCGTGACTTTGGGAAGTTACCTAATGTTTCCCTACCTCAGTTTCCTCAACTGTAGAGAAGTAAGGAAATAAAACCGATGTCAACAGTAACTGTTACAAAAGGGTAATTTTCATGCTCCTCTTTTTAACTTCTTTATTTCTAAAACTTCTGCGGGGATGGGGCGCCTGGGTGGCTCGGTCGGTTAAGCATCCGACTCTCAGTTTTGGCTGAGGTCGTGATCTCACAGTTCATGAGTTCAAGCCCCACACCGGGCTCTGCGCTGACAGCATGGAGCCTGCTTGGGATTCTCTCTCTCTCTCTCTCTCTCTCTCTCTCTCTCCCCCCACCACCCCCACCCCACCCCGCTCTCTCTGCCTCTCTCCTGCTCAGGCTCTCTCTCTCTTTCTTTCTCAAAATAAATAAATAAACTTTAAAAATATAAATAAATAAAATTTCTGCAGGGAGTGCAAAACGAATTTGGGGGGTGTGTGTGTGTCTATGTATATGCACGTGCATGCGTGCGTGCACGCACGCGCATATATATTTTTAAACAAAACCTTGCCTGCCTGTGAAACAGATTTTAATTCGAGGTTCAAGTAAGAAAGTGCATATGGAAGGGCTTTGAGAAGGTGTGAAGTCCATGCCAGTGGTTCCCAAGCTTGTCTGTGCATGGGGATCACCTGAGGAGTTTCAAAAATACTAATGCGTGGGTCCCAGTGACAAGATTTCATTGATGTGGGCTTTTTTGAAAGATTCCAGATGACTCTACGGGGCGGACCAGCTTGGGAACGACCGCCTTTCTATGGCTGTGCTGGGTACCCGGTGGGGGTGGGGGGAGGCACTGCTCCCCAGGTGTCGGATCTTCTCCCCCTCACTGCGTCCTACATGCTGAGAACATGGGGGGCCCCCGGAACCAGGCTGGGAAACGGAGTCTAGACATCCCAGAGTCAGCCCAGGGGGACTACTGTCTGCACCTGCCACCGTGCGGATCAGGCCGGGATCCCTAGCTTTCTTGGGAAGAGACTTGCCCATTAACCCAATAAATATGTCCTGAGTCTATACCCTGAACCAGCTTCTAGGGATCCAGCAGCAAACGTGACAGCTCCGTGGGGTCCTGATTCTACTTTCCTTCCCCTTTTCTCCTACACTGGAGGCAGGGGGAGTCTGGAGAGACCCCTCTCTGGCTCGGAGCCGGGGGTCCCCTGAGCCCCTGCAGCAGAGCCCTGCCTGGGGGACTTGCTTGGCCTCTGGGGCCCGAGGGCAGCCGAGAGGAGACCTCAGGGGGGCCTGTGTGAATTCTGCCTCCAATACCACGCCACTGCAAGGTCTCAGGCTCCTTCCAGGAACTGTGGGTGAGGGAGGAACCGAGGGACCAGCCTCAGTCCCTAACTGCCCTGGCTTCCCTTTCTTCATTCCCCCGGCCCAGGCCTGCTGCCAATGACAGAAGTGGAGACGAGGGGAGGGGAAGAAAGGGTCCAGGGCCCCGGCCCCGGCTCCACCTAAGCGTCCGTACCTTCCTAGGAGAAGCTCCGTAACTTCATGGCGACGCTTGTGGCCGCCAGAGCCTGGGTTCAAACGCCCCCTGCACCACCCGCTAGCCGTGTGGCTGCGGAAAGCGACTCATCCTCTGTGCCGCATTTTCCTTAGCTGTGAAGTGGGGATGATCACAAGCCTCATCTCACAGGGCTGATGATTGGGTTGAATGGGGTGATACAAGCTAAGTGCTCGGAACGGTGCCTGGCGCCAAGTAGGAGCTTTGCAAATGATGCCTGTTCTGTTCCTGCCCACCCACCGTTCCAAAAATCTCTCTTCCCTGACACCTCTGTCCACACTCCAGTTTGTCCCCCTGCCCTCCCCTTCTCCCTCCACCACCTGAGCCCCATCCGCCCAGTCCCACCCTCCTTTCTTTTTTTTAAAAAATTGTTTAAATGTTTATTTATTTTTGAGAGAGAGAGAGAGCGAGGGAGGGGCAGAGAGAGGAGGTAGAGAATCCGAAGCAGGCTCCAGGCTCTGAGCTGTCATAGAGCCTGACGCGGGGCTCGAACCATGAACCGCAAGGTCATGACCTGAGCTGAAGCCTGACGCTTCCCGGACTGAGCCACCCCAGGCGCCCCCACCCTCCTTTTCCTAACCAGCCTCAAGCTAAGTTGTGACCAGCGCCTGCTTGGCGGACGTGCCCTGGGAACTCACCACTTGCCTGGATGCTCCCTCTGAAATCTACCTTGAGCCCCTCCTGCTGCTCTCCTTACCTGCCTCGTGCTGCTCTGAGGTTCCTGGGCCCTGCTTGCTGACCCGGAGCCCTCTGACACCAGGAAAGGCTGGCGGCCCCTCCACAGCCCTGCTCGGCACAGAAGCTGGACCTAGCCAGAGAAAGCCAAGAGAAGGTTCTGGGCAGGTGTGTGGTCCCTTCTGACACCCCACCTCTAGGGAACCTGAGCTGGCTGCCTCCAGCGGGCGCAGAGCTGAGATGAAAGGGGCAGGCCTGGGGGCTATTTCTGTACGGGGTCCCCCAGAGGACGGGGGCTCTATCCGCTCTCCCGGCTCCCCCAGGAATCACACCCTGCTTACCTGCCTCATTAACTCGCTGGCCTACCGGACAGAGACGTTGGTGCCTGCCAGGTCCCCAGGCCCCAGAGAGAGCCATTAGCAACAGCAAGACCCGCCTCCCACCCTCGTCCATGGGCACACATCACTCTCTCCAGCCCACCTCTCCCCGTCTGTCTGTCTTGGAACCTACTGCAATCTAGAAACTTCTCAGAGCAGGGAGGCACTTGTGGGCTGACGGAGAGGATCCAGGAAGGGAGAAGAGATCGGGGATAAGAAAGAATCCATAAGAGGGGCCAGGGAGAGAACGGCCTAGGTCACAAAGTCATCCTGCATGTTGTCTAGAGGTTGAATGGGGTCCGTGAAAGGCGTTGGATCCAACCTTTGGTGGCTTCGGATGCCTGAACCTTTTCCACCTTGCCTCTTGCCAAGGGTCACCCAACTGCCACTTGTATGCCTCTATTGACAGAGAGCTCACTGCTGTGGAGGCATCCCTTTCAGAACCGAGCAGAGGGATGGGGGCCAAGATCGGAGACTGATTCGACCTGTAGGCAAGCTCTGTCTTCCACCTCCCACCCTCCCTTCCTCTCCTGCAGTCTCTTGCTCTGTACCTCTTTCTCTTGGAACTGTCTCTGCTTGTCTCCCCCACGGAACCGGGGTTTCCTTGGATTCAGCTGGGGAATTCACCAGGATTGAAGGATCACGAAATTATCATTACGCACCCTGCATCCTGCACACGCTGGCCTGCAGGACATGGTGGGTGTCGTTGCGGTTAGATGACGGGGACAACAATCACGACAAACATACGTGACGGGAGATAGTCCAACACTGAGGGGCCGTCTCCCTAAGATTCTCGAAGCAAGCTCCTTTAAGGGCACGGGAAACCGCAGCCCGGGGCGGGGGGGCTGTACCTTTCAGGAGGCAAATGTTGTGCAGTTCTGGGAATCCCTACAAAAGCTCCAAAGAGGAGCCCACGAGTGACCCGCGGCCAGTGTCTCTGCTGCTCCCCAGGCCCCACCGGCCACACCCCAGCTGGACCTCGAGAGCACCCGGAGACTGACGACTGAGGGCAGAGAGCTGCACCAGGGGACATCTTGGCATTAGAGCAGGTGATCTTTGAATACGACCCCTTAGAGTCAGGTCTGGGGGAAAGGAAGTGGGGGAGGGGGGGGACAGGAGACAGGAGGAACAGGGCTTGTCAGGGGCCATCAGAACGTTGCTCTTTCCCCAGACTCAGATTCTGCTTGGAAGGAACTCCATGCTTGCAAACAGGGGTGAATGGGACAAGGTTCACCAGCTTTGTCAGGCACGAAACAGGGGGACTGCTTGAATAAAGAGTATTTTGTCATTAACAGGCTGTATCCGTTAGCAATCAGCCCCGAAGCAAGCTCCCAGGGAAGTTTCTCTCCCTCTCCTTAGCGTTTATTTTTCATTTTGATTATATCAAGAACACCGAATCATTGCAGAAGATCTGGAAATACAAACACATATAAAAAGGGAAATAACACGTCCGCACATTCACCCTGCAACATTACCACCCAGAGATGTGTGCCCAAGAATGCGGTGTGCTTTCCTTCATTCATTTTTCTAGACTTTTCCTTTCTTTAAAGAGTTTTCACCACCGTCACCTCAGCAAAGTCCTTCTTCAGAGTGCAAAGGGCAGCGTTAGTGCAGCCCTACCCTGGGATCCGAGTCCTGACCGGAGGAGGGGTTTTCCTGAACATCTGAGCTGGCCGTCTCTGTCATTGCTGTGTCCAGGCAGGTGGGACAGGAGCCGAGGAACAGGAAACCCGAGGGGTGCCGTCCTGTCCTGGCTGGGCTAGGTGGTCAGAAGCAGCAGACAGAGCTCTTAGATGGCCTCTTGGGGGCCACCTCCACCAGGGAGTCCTTCAGACGGTCTTCCTGCATCTTGAGTGACCTGTGTGACGACGCCAGACATCAGTCCTCTGTCTCACCTTGCCGGGGCAGCAGGGAGGGACCTGCGGGTGCAGCTGTGGGGCTGGGGGATTGCACCCCCTGAGCTACCTCTCTTCCCCCCCTGCTCTGTTCCCGTCCTGCATTCCACACGGCACTGGAAAAATGGGGCTATGGAGACTTTTGCCCTCTCTTTCCTGGCATCCTTTCCGGACTACTGTGTGCCAGGCTTGGTGCAAGGGACTCTGAAGGGGACAGTGAAGCCGGCATGTCCTTGCCTTGAGTGGTAAGGGAGACAGAGAGGAGAAGGGGCTGTCAGAACCCAGGAATGGGGAAGCACGCCGAGGGACCTCACACCAGGTTCTCCAGGGATTTACGGAGGAAGGAGGCAGCGTCAGAGCGGAGACCC